TTAGCAGTAGAAAGAGGGAAGTGCTCATGCTATTGTACATAAAACTGCTGCGACCTCACTTGGAGTATTGTATGCAGTACTGGAGTACGTATCCCCAGAAGGATATTGATACGTTAGAAAGAGTTCAGAGAAAAGCTACTAAACTGGTTCATGGATTGCAGGATAAAACTTACAAGGAAAGGTTAAAGGAACTTAATATGTATAGCTTAGAGGAAATACAAGACAGGGGGGATATGACAGAAACATTTAAATACATAAAAGGAGACTATATTTAAAAGATGAAAAACTACCACAACAAGAGGACATATTCTTAAATTAGAGGGGCAAAAGTTTAAAAATAATATCAGAAAGTATTACTTTACTGAAAGGGTAGTGGATGCATGGAATAACCTTCCACCTGAAGTGGTAGAGATTAACACAGTAAAGGAGTTTAAGCATGCATTGGCATAGGCATAAGGCCATCCTATCTATAAAATAAGGCCAGGGACTAATGAACGTATTTAGAAAATTGGGCAGACTAGATGGGCTAAATGGTTCTTATTTGCCATCACATTCTATGTTTCTATGTAAGTTACAGGACTAGTTGCCTGATTGACAGGGAGTATAAAATAAAAAAATGGAACACACAAAACACACAAAGCCCTTCAGTAAGCTAAAGTGCTCTAGGTGTTTGGAATGGTACTTAAATCAATAAAAATCTACTTTTTAATTAGAATATGTATTTTACTGCTTAACACAGACCCATGTGTGGGTCAGAATATTGAAGTGTTTACCTAGTCTCAATAAATAATTGAGCATTTGAGTTCCTGGACCATCCTTATTCTGCTGGCATGCAACTTGCTTGTCTTGTGCTTGCCCTGGGTCACTGCAGTTCATTGTGTCCTTTTGTGTAATATATCAAACTAACAGGACCTCCTGTTAACCTATATATTTCTCTTTTATTTCTATGACCCATTTTGATTAGACTATGCTTAAAGTAATTGAATTAGTGTATCCTCCAATTTCTCCTCTAAACATGCTCAACAGCCTATCAATAGTAAAATACCAGAGAGGAAACTATATTACCGATATTTCTGCAAATAGTGTGCAGCTGATGCTTTATCCATTGGGCTTAACTGTGCTAACAAACAGGTAAATTAATATCAATGAAGCCATTTTGACTTTGATCAGAGTTGTTTTGCAAGAAAGAAAACTGAAAAGTCATGTCACCTCTTTATAGTTTGTTGCTAGTTTGTATTGGACTGTGCAACTGTTGAAAGTAAATTATTGCTTTTCCAAATGTTTCCTTTAAAAATTAACTATTGCTATTGATATTGTGTGATATTTAGCTTTAGATAGCATAAAATGTTTAACCTTTAGACTAAAATAGTTTTTTAGAGTTATACGGACTATAAATATTGTAAAATTTAGAAATATTTTTAACTCAGCAGTCAAAACCTGCTTTGATTATTCACTGAACTAGAGACTCCATCAGTCATGCAGTCTTAAATAATAAACCATATAAACATTTAACATCCATAAAATAATGACATTGATTTAATGTTATGTGGCAAGCTTTTCAAATGATTTAATATTGTTGATTAAACTTTTCAAATAAATAATAATCAATCAATAAATTAATAAATAGATAATACCAACTGTTTATAGGTAAGCTAGTCTAACACTAGGGACAATGAAAGAAATGTCAATCTCCTATATCCAACTCAAAGTCATTTTAAATTGCCACCTCTAAGTAGACTTCTAGATATATACAGAAGCAAGCAAACCTATTCTCACACTAGAATCAATGGCCCAGACTATCTCCCACTCTCAAACAGGGTTGAGAGTCTGGAAAAATCCTGCGTTGGATTATAGATTGTTTACCTTGTCCTCCCTTTTCCCTGTATTTTTCCCTGTCAGTTGCAATTAGATCCATGAACAAAATCAACATTTAATGGCTGTCCCAATACCATCAATTATCTTTTTTTTTTAGATGCCTCTTGATTGATCAGGAGATCCAGCCCACATGATTGGGTGGTCATCTGGTCCATCAAAATTTCTTATTTGCCTCCACCAAAAAAAATAAATAATAATAATCAACATTTCTCCATTACTTCTCCTTTATGCCAGGAATAGCACTCTGAATCAAGAACCAAACTGAACCAGGCTTGAGCTATTTGGTTCCCCCGAGATTTTTGCAAGTGTTGGCTCAGAAATTAGAATTGTGTCCTATCACCTGATCGGCCTGCATTCGACTAAATTGCAGATCAACTTAAAAAAAAAAAATTTCTAAGTCTAGCTTACACCATTACACCATATAAAAATCAAAAATCTTCAGTGCATTTTTTTTTTCTAATATCCAATTTTAATGAATTAATATAATCAGAGGAAAAACTATAAAGCTTGAATAAAGTTTAAAAGAATTAAACCCACACAAGTAATGTATGCTACAGTAATACTTCTTGGGAACCTTTATATGTGATAGATGAACAGTGTTTATAATAGTAACAGACATTGATCTTCTGGGAAATTAAATTAAACATGTATGGGTTATTTAAATTCAGCATACTTTATAAGGGAATACGTTTGAAGTGCTTCCTTACCAAAACATTTCTCATCTGTGCAGTATTTCAATGACAGTTGCATGACATATTTGAATGAGACCCCAGACCAATTAGATACAAAAAACATCACTTCTCTGACCAACATTGTTGCATTTTCAAGAGCCTTAAAAGATCAAAAATGTAACTTGACTTTTAGCCAAGTTTAATATGACAGACATAAAGAACATTTTAAATTAAAAGAATCATGACTGAGATAAAGAGGAGAAGAAAAATATAATCTGAGAAGATTTGTATTTTGAGTTTTTTATATAATAAGTTATAAAACACAAAATATATTATTGTGTGATATTTTCTAACTGGGTAGCACTCTAGAGTAGAGTATTTTTATAATTTTAATCGTAAAAATGGTAATAATGGTAATAATTTTAATAATTTTCATAGTAAAAGATATTACAGCAGTGGGAGTAAAACGGAATAAATATATTATTGAGTGATCCAGGGCACCGTTATTCTATAAAAAAAATTAATACATGAAAGTACTAATCTGAAGAAATTTATCTAGCCACCTTATCACAAATCTTGGTTATTTTGTGGCTCTTACAAATTATAAATAAAGCCACACAGAATTATAGAAGAGGGTAAGGAAGTTGCCTCTGAGAATTATGTATCTGCTGCCACTTAAGATGTAAATTGGACATTGTGTGTACTTGTGTATTCAGTAACTTCTCTTGCATCAGTACAGAAACCTCAGCATTTACAAATATTGATTTGTCAGCAACATTTTAGATGTATATTTTCATAAATAGCATTTGACTTACACTCTTCTTTCTTCCCCCTCCTGCATATTGTACTTATTGTGATATATATTATTTTTTTTTACAAATGTTATCTGTTTTCTTGTTAGCATCCATCCAGAAACATAGTGTATCAATTATATACAATTGCACAGTTTACAGATTAAAGGAAAATTAAATAACAGAAAACTAAAACAAAATAAAATAATTAAACATAATATACCAAATAAAATGCAATTAAATGCATGCCATAAATTCAACAGCTAGGATTGTAATATAAGTGAAATAGAATTGTGAAATAGAAAAAAATAAAGAGAAATAAGAATAAAAGTCAAGTTCATCTCTCAAACAGATTCGAATGGTGTGAAAAATAGTGAAAAAAGCATTGCTAATATCTGCAAGGATCTTAAAACAGGGTCCCATATTTTGTGAAAAAAAACAAAATAGTATTATTCACTGAGTAAGCCATATATTACATCTGCCACATATGTAAAACCATATATATATAATCTGAGTGAAAGCAGTACGATATCAGTTTTCCAGTTTCTGGCTACAAAGATTCATCTGCATTGTCTTAGTTGAATAGGAGTCATATCATCAAAACAATCATTCATACAAGAGCTCAACATGGCTGGTAGAATTAAAACTATTTACATTAGTCACCAGAATGCTTTTCAATCCATCATCAGCAAAAAACCTTGTGCACTTTTATCTCACTGCCAACTCTAAATGTGCAAGGCTTAAACAAAAAATGTGATAACAAACATAGTAAGATTTTTGTGGTTTTAAGGGCAACACTAATTAATTTGGCAAAAGAAGCCTCAAAAGCTGTAGGTGTAAAATACATGAAAGCAGTGCCATATTTGTAAATAATTGAAGAAATCTTGGTGGGGGAGTTTAAATCTAGATTGGAGGTTGGTAAATGAATCATCATGTTCTTGGACTGCAAGTTTTTCAATAGTCAGTAGACCATTGGAACTCCAATTAGTGACCTCTATCTTGGGAAATATGGTATATTGTGTAATGAAGGGAACGAGGGTGCCCCTAGAGACAGGCCTAACCAACCTCATTTGTCATTTGAGGTCTGACCATACCTTGAAACTGAACTGTAGTGTATAGAATTCAATAGGATTGCAGAAGTGTGTTCAGAGACCATTCATAATGAGATACCCACTATATAAATAAAAGAAAGTCCTCTAAGTTAAACAACGATGAAGGCTTGGGTTAGGGACTGAAGAGAATTGACTGAGCCAAGGATGTCCCTTTAACATAATGAAGGACACAACTCCCATGAGGTCTATATGGAAACCGGTGGAACTCTCCTGCATGGATAAATGTATTCAAAGATATTTGGATATCTTTCAGTGTAGATTGCATGAAGAGAAAATGGCTACTATACATAAATATGTGTAGCAATAGCAACATCATCTTGACTGAAGCATTACACTCCAACCATAATAGGTCAAATCTTCTTCACTTATCCAATTCTAAAAAAAAACAAAAAAAAAACAAACAGAAAATACCCTCTTGTTAAAGAGGGGGTGTACCCTTCCAAAAAAGTGCTTACTGTATAACAAGTAATATGACTGTTTGGTCAGATCACTCACATTTGATGGAGCCTATAATATATATATATATAGATTCCTAATCTTTTTATATAAAGGACAGTTATATAGCTATATATATGTCTCTCTCTCTCTCTCTCTCTCTCTATATATATATATATATAGAGAGAGATATATCTATATATATATATATAGAGAGAGAGAGAGAGAGAGAGAGAGACATATATATAGCTATATAACTGTCCTTTATATAAAAAGATTAGGAATCACATATTCTTATTCAACATTTATAAAAAAAATATATTTAATAACATAACTTTTCATATATATTTTATGAAAAATATAAAAATATAATAAAAAAGTATATAGAAAATATTTGTTTATATTTTAAAGGCACATCACGTAAAATGTTGTATAGGTGAGATCTCAGTTACTTAGTTCATAAAAGTATTTCGTTTTTTTTTTAGAAAATAAGATAGTTAATAAGACCCTCCATTTAAATATGATATCATATTTAATTTTAAAAAGCAGCTAAACAAGACAAAATGTCTATTTATATAGAAGAACTATATATAGTTAAAAATACCTAACAATTTTACAAAATTTCTAAATAATTAAAAGGCCCATTTCCATGTGTCCTAAAATTTTAATAAAACCTTCTTTTTTCCAATTATATTAACAATTTCAAAACCTGAAAACACTAAAGCTATGGGTCTTTGATTGTGGCATTTCTTAAAATGGTCAGTCTCACTGTGTGCTTCAAAGTAAATAAATAAATAAATAATAATAAAAAATATATATATAATTTGTTTTTCTATTCCTTTTTTACATGGGTCTAGTAATATCCCACATATTGTAATGCACAAGGGTAGGTTAAAAGGTAGACTACATTTTTGCTGTTACATGTTATATATTCTTTCATTTTTGGTTGTGGTTTCTACAAGCCATACTCTTACTACATTTAAAAAACCTTTTAAATCTTCTAAAAAATTCTTCTTCTTTTTTTCTTTGAAGTAACATTTTACTAGGTTACTTTTTAGACTAGGCATTTCTCCAGGGGATCCATGGTACAAGATTTTTAGAAGACAGGTACTTTGGCAAAACATACATGAGATTTTTGTTTACCATCTTAGATCATTTTTTTTTTTCAGTCGCCCACTTAATAATATACGCTTTGTTGCTAGAGGATGCCTTCATTTAGAATGGCCTCTTTGCAGCACATGGGAACGCACATTTGATTTGTTTCCATTTTATTTTATCAAAAGTACTTTAGTTTTACATATATACCATGGCAATGTTATTTATTAGATTATTGTTAGATAATTTAGTTGCAATCTATGTAAACAAGACACCTTATTCATGGTGGTTGCTATGATAACATATGTATAAGCACTTTTAGCCTCTATTTGTTATGGTTTATCTGGAGGTACATTGTTATTGATCCACCCCTTTATGGCTATATTATGTCCACCTATATATTAATAGGCACTGTCTAAGGTTATATTATATTTATGCTACACGGTTTCAAATTGCATATCCAATAATAAGCCTCTAGAGCCTAGAGCAGGGGTAGGCAACTTTTTAGCAGCACTGTGCCGATATAGGATTGTGATGTCCTGTAGCGTGCCGGTCCTATTTTTTTTTTTTTTTTAATCAAGGGGTGTATGCTGCCGTATTCTGCTTGTGTTATTTTTACTGGTTTTTACTGTTTTACTGCTTTGTATCATATGCAGGGCCGTATATGCAGGGCCGTCTTTAATAGTGACTGGACCCTGGGCAAAGCATTTGCTTGGGGCCCCCTGGACCCTGTCCCCCCTCCTCAGGCATGCAATCACGTCCTCCACCTCAATGCAGTGGCGGACCTAAACTAGAGAGGTGCAAGAATTTTTGGGGGTCTCCCTGTTGCACGGGTGATTAAAAGGTAGATCCCCATTGTCGAGTAACTCCAGAAATGCATTGACAGCTGGGGCTCTACCATTTACCCATGTTTGCAGGTCTGTATTTAGCACTAAGCAGTTTTTGTGTGTTTGAATGTAAACAGGTTTTTGTATGGAATATGTTTGCATGTGGTGTTGGCGTGATTGCAAACATGTATTTGTGTAGTGTTGGTTTTTGAATGCAGGGGTGTATTTACATATAATTTTGGTCTGTAACACAGACATGTGTTTGTACGTAGTGTTGAAATTTGAATGCAGAGGTGTATTTGTGTGTAGTGTTAGTGTGTGAATGCTGAGATGTATGCACATATACACACACACACACAGAGATATATACACACTGAAATGCTCACACACACAGATACACACACAGACATACTGACACACACGCACAGACATGCTGACATACAAACATACTGGCACACACAAAGATATACTGACAGATATACTGACACACACACACACAGATATACTGACACACACAAAGACATACTGACACATACTGACACACAGACATGCTGACACACAGATGACACACACACCCACACACAGACATACTAACACACACACACTGACAGACATACTGACACAGACATACACTTTAAAACCCACCCTCCAGTTTGCTACCTTTCCTGCTGGTGGCTGAAGGTGATGGGAGTTGGGGTCTAGCGCTCTCGGCCAGCACCCCTCCAGTCAGCTTACTCTTCTTTCCCGCACGCTCCTCTCTTTGTGGGAGGAAGTGATGCGCGGCCGTCACTTCCTCCCAGTCTGCTGCCGAAAAGCAAGGGGCCCCCTCGCGCTGTTAAAGCGCCTCAGCGTGCGACCGGGCCCCTGCTGACAGAAGCGCACCGGGTGGTCCTTTGTGCATGGGCCACCTGGTGGGCCTCCTTAGTGTGCGGTTTACCGGCCAGAGGGTTAGAAATAGTTGAGGCCAGCAGGGCTCAGGGTGCAGCTGGCCAGTTTGCCCCGCATTAAAGACGGCCCTGCGTATATGAGCTATTATATTGTATATGCTCATGAGTAGTTTATGGTATTGTGTATGATACATATGAATGTGGGCTGTGTATGGGGGCTGCTTGTGGAATTGTGTGTGTGTGTGTGTGTGTGTGTGTGTGTGTATGGATATGTCACAGTGGTAGTGTGTGGGGGCTGTTTGGGGTATTGCATGTGGGGTTGTGTGCATGTATATGGATTGTTAGTGGTGTTTCGTTTGTGCGGATTGTGTGCATGTTTGTGTGTGGGCTGTCCGTATTATTTGTATGAGGGGAGGGTTATTCTGCATTTCTGTGTATATCCAGCAGTGTGGGTGGCTCCCAGGGGGAACTAGGCCTGCAAGGTAGATGTCAAGGACAGGAGCTGCAACAGCAACTGCGAGCTGCTCTACTACAGTGTGGATTCCTATTCACAAGTGCTGGGAGGAAGTGATCTGAGATCACTACCTCTACGTGCTGCAATGCATAAATTGAGGATTGTCCTTCACCACCTTTTCGGATTAGCAGATCTCTGAAGTTTTACTGGGACTCCTGATAGGCCAGAGCCTGTTTGGCTCTTGCAGCCTTGAGTGCCGTGCAAAGACACCTCGAGTGCCGTGCATGGCACTAGTGCCGTAGGTTGCCTACACCTGGCCTAGAGCATGGGTTATTATTGCAGCATAGGAGTTAGATTAATGTTTGACATCTTTTACGTAGAGCTTTTTTCTTATTTATTAATCTACTTTAACATTTATGTTCTGGTGCGATTTGCTGCATCTATATATTGTATGTAAACTTTACAAATACGTTGCTATAACAACTATATATTTGCATTCATTAGGTTTGCATGACTTCGAAAATGCAGTGTAAATTCAACTTGAAAGTACAAAATTAGGTAAACAATGGACTATTTATACCAGTGTCAGTGTTTATTGAGTATTTGTACTTTAATAAAGAGTGTGGGTGAACCATGTTAGTGTTTTAATTGTATAGGTCATATAAATCGCCTGTTTCTCTATTTAATTTTTTTCAAAATAAAGTGTTAAAGTTACATATGTGGTGGATTGCTAACCCAACACTTTGCTAACTACTAGTTTGTATTGGTGGAGATTTAACCATTTAGGCTCTAACACTATGATCATAGAATACTGCTCCTCAAACTAAGTATAATATATATTCATTCTACAATTGCCATACAGTGTTACACTATTGGTGCTTTGTTCTTGTCTTTCTTTTGGGTTTTGAGTAAGCTGTGCCACATGGCATATCTCTATTGTAGAAAATACTGCTATTGCTGTTTTTTTACTAAGCTAGTCACATAGCGCCTAATTATGTAATCACATGACTGTGTTTTTTCTCCATTAAATCTGACACTTAGTATAATTGGATTTGTACTATATATACTTCTTTTTTTAAGTCTATTCTGCATTCAAAATCTACAAGCAGCATTCTGAAACAGTGTTTTATTTTGTTGTAACTTAAATTTTGTTATTTTCTATTAAAGAGACAATGTTCATGCATCAATGTTCAATACCTTTGGCTATGCCTGGAAGCTGCCATTTCTCCAGTAGAAGATAGTGGGCTGGAATTATCAAGAGAAGAGTTTATAAGTTAATTAAAATCTCCACATTAAATACATTTCCCACATTGTTCCAAGGAGAGCCTGTGACAGAGTTGCTGAAATGGAAAGAGGGTCTGTAGGTGGCAGATATACATTAACAATTGTGAGATCTAAACCTTGAATCATACATGAAGCAGTATTAAAAAAAAAACTGACATCATAACTGATAAAAAGGGTGAGCTGCATTGATCTATGAACAAGAATAGAAGTACCACATATTTTTTATTTGTTCAGGGAATGATATGGAGTAGGAAAATTTGTTTTTAAAAAAAATGTTTAAACTTTTGACAAAATGACTTTCCTTAATAAATATAACAGGTGTTGAATATGTGGGCTGCTACATACATTACTTATATGGGGAATTTAAGCCCATTGCCTTGAGTGATAAGATATTAAGCATTAAGCACTTATAAGGAAAAAGGGTAACAGACAGCAAATTTATGGGGTATGGAAAATAAAAACTGAACAACACCTATAAATGTGCAAAACAATTCCCAACCCAGCCATAACTATCTTAAAGCAATCAAAATTGTTCCCACTTGGGAAACAGAAATGTAAACATACTTTTATTTTTCATGTACATGGAAATATATAAGGCATAAATTAACTGAAGAACTGAAGAAGAAGGTCTCAAACAGGAAAACAAAATCACTCAACATGAAAACTGTATAATTTAGCCAATTGTTGAGGGAGACTCAACCTTCTTCCTTCTTTCT